ATATTTTAAATAAAAATGTTAATGTTTACTGACGGTGGAAATATTTTTTTTTTGAAGGAATAAAAACGTGTACAAGAATTATTATTCTATTCCAATTAACGGTCTTGAAAATATAATTGAAAATTTATTGTATATTTGTCGCCATGCAAATAAAATTATTTTAGTTTGTAAGTCAGCAAATACGCAGTTGTTAAAGTGGGTAGACGAGCGAATTCGCTTTGAAATTCTTTAAGACGATTAATTAGATAATTATTTAACTTAGGTTGTTAAAGTAGTTATTATTATTTGGATATCAAAAACAGTAGTGCCTTCTAAGATAAAAATATGCTATACGCATTATATTTTATATCATACTAAAGGTTAACGGTTATTTTAATTTCAAATTGAATAAACATTGTAAAATAATTAATTAACATATTTTATTTGTTATTATTCGCGTGTAATGTTGTATTAAATACTAAAAACGAAATAAAAGTACGCGAGCAAATGATAATAAATAATATAAATAACTTCATCTTCGTATTTTTAAATATATATTTAAGTTATTTTTTAAAAGAAGGTAACGTAGATATAATATCTGGTATATCTCGAAAAAAATCTGAAGTGTCCTGTCACATAATAACTCGAAATTATGATTAAAAAATATATTTGCAATAAAGTGCAAATGTACGGGATTAAATGACTACTGTTTAGTGATAAAAGCGATCCCTGCAGTAAATATTACAACGGGTGGGTTGTTATGGACAAAATCGTGTCAGTAAAAAACTTTATCGACTAACGGCTTTTAGGTCCGATGGTACTATGTATACGAATATTATATACCTAAGGTATAGTTGTTGCAGTCGTAACTCGACGAGTCGCGAGCACTGACTGCAATCACGTCGCAAAATATATTATATTTTTACTTCGTTTCACGATTTAATTTCGAAATTCTTTAATTGAATAAATTATATAAAAAAATACCTACCTACATCGTCGTCTTCGGAACGATCCGATAAGCGGTAGTTATTTTAATTATAGTCACGATAATTTTTGTTATTCTCTCTTGTCCGAATCACAGCGGTATTCCGGTAAGAAAAATAATACACACAGTATTATGATGTATACATATGTATAAAGATACGTATAGTACGTTCCCACCTAAAAATCCTTAAGACGTTGTTCTAATTTCGATCCATATAATGTCATGGCATGATTTAATAATTATTATTATCCGAAATGAAATTATACCTATACCGCCGCCGAGTTTTTAATTTTTAATCAAACCGAATATCTGATCGATTGCACACGCGTTACACTATCGGACCGTTTGATCGGCAAAAAAAATTGTTTGCACATAATATTATTAGGTATAACCGATAAATTTATACTGAATAGAGTTCGGCCAAAAATATAATGTACCGACGCCACGGCGTATTAATAACGCGTATCTACGTTATTATTATACAAAATGTTTTTTAAGTACACAAAAATCGTATAAGGATGGATTTTATATTATTACATAATAATAATAATAATTCGTATCTCTAGAACAATACTTCCACAACTTCAAAATGTATAGTTTTGAGAAAAAGCGATTTGTAGTTTAAATCTAACATTTTTAAAAAATATCGTTTTTTGTATTCAGGACATTTATTTACTTTGATAATATAAGGTCGATAAATTATCCGTAGGTATTTTACAAACGAAATCTGATCATCACTGATGTTTTATCTAGTGATTATTACTATAATTATAATAAATTATAAGCGCATCAAATTATGTACCTTATTATACTACCGTAGTATACCTACCTACCTACCTATATATAATTAGTCAAATTGCATACGTTACAGGAACGTATGCAATAATTACAGTTGCATTTTAAAATGTAAAACATCAATAGAAAATTTCAAATTCTCTTGAATAATAGAAAACAAAATATCGATCATTGTTGGTAACGAATAATATTTTCATAAAAAAATATAATATTATAAAAACGAGAAACTATTAAAACTATTGTATATTTGAAGAATTGACTGGAACACCTTGGAACACTCACCCTGTATATATGTATGTTTGCATAATGTATACGTATATATTATAATATTAAACAGTTAAAATTTAAATGTATTCCCAAGAAAGTTTAATTTCTTCGTATAATTCATAAACGGCCGTACGGTATTAAGTGTTTTAATTAGTTTCAGATCTCTCGACAGAAACTTGTATAAATATAATTTGCATTTGTATTTGTATTTCGAATCATTTTTTATTTTATTTTTTAAGATAAATGTATATAAATATATATATATATATACAGACACCGCGCGTTATATATGAATCGTAAATTAATTAAATCTCTGATAAAAAATTTAAAAAAAAAACGTACCATCATATACAGTACACTCATAGGTACGTATATACACGACGATCTGCATTCGTTTCGCTTCTGTATGTATATATATATATATATATATAGCTAGTAGCGGAGTTATAAAAAAATACATTTTTAATTAATTCCAAAAACGACGATTTTTATCAGGTCCTTCGAAACGGTAGATATACTGCTGGTGCATATAACTGACAGTTGCGTGTACAATAACCTATGCCTATGGTTATGCGTACTTACTGACTATACCTACTTGTATTGGTTATACATTATGTGATAAGTTTATAATATTAAAGTAGGCTACAACTCGATCGTTTTGCTTGATTTTCAAACAAAGCGACAGTTGGTGGACGAAATATTATATTTTGAGAGTGGTTATGCCAACAAACTAGTGATAATAACTTAGTCATAAAATATTATGATGTTAATATTAATATATTTGTGTAGGTGTTTAATTTTCAAAAAGAAGCCTTCCAACTTTTTGATAACTGATTTTCCGAAAAATTACTCACGTATTGTAAACTGTGTACTTGAATTACTATGTGAAATGATATTATAGCCAGCTATTTAGGAATACAGGAACCGTATTTATTAGGCGAAAGACACGTGTGTAACATAAGTATAATATATATTTTATCGCAAACTAGACAATAACTCAGAAAATAAAAGGCAACACATTTTTTTTTTATCTGGATGAAATGATAATAAAACTAAAATTTAAAATAGAATTGGCTCACAAACTTTCTAAATAAAAATAAATTCATTTTAGAAAAACGTCTCGTATAAAATCGTGTCTATTAATTATTATATTTCCCGAGATGTTATCCGGTTTTCGAAGTAAATGAACCACGCTGTACAATATACGTTATGTCGTGTGCGATTACAATATTTTTCTAATAAACATAATATATATTTGTACAGAAGTACAGCGGCATTACAAACACCATATTATCATATGAAACGTAAAACGTAAGTACTATAGTACTATAAAATATTGCCTGTGTGGGTGGGTAGAGTTGTCGGCGATGGTGTGGTGTGAGGAGTGAGTGTGTAGAAAAATAATAAAGTTTATTAGTTGGCGCCGTTTCGGGGAAAATTATTTAGAGCTGCGCTTTAACACCCCTGTCGGTATACATATATATATATACCCTACACTTGTACACACGTACCTATTTATGAATTATATTTCGTACGATATGCTCGTAAAGATGTTTTTTCATACACCTTATCCACGCATTGTTCTACCCTTATATATATATAGGTATATATATATATATATATAATATAAACGAATGTGTGTGCAAGAGACGGTCCCTACACCGCCGACGGGTATTTGAGAACATAATGTTTTTCGCGAAGATCCCGAGATTATAATAATAGTGCACGTTTGCTCGTATACAATAGAGAATAGATCATTGGTATATATATATATATATATATATATATATAATTATATATCCATTATAAGTAATGTACAATAATATGTTATCAAGCCACGAGCGTGTCACTGCACTGCCGAAATGTTTTCTAGAAATAAAAATAACAATATATGTTATAAGCCACCGCAACAATACAAAGTCGTCTCGAAATACGTTTCTCAAAAAATATAAAGATAGCTAGGTGTAAATGGTATAATAATATGTTATAATACATAACATACATATGTTATATGTTATAAAATAACTTGTCCTGCGGCTGACTGACTTACTCATCACCGCCAAAGCTATGATCACCTAATTTGGTCAAGTAGTTTTGTTTTATGGTGTAGGCATGACCCAATGAAATGAAAGGATTTCTTACAATTCTCATTTTAAAGAGATCCTACTAAAACAAGGATTTTGATATCCACGGTAGAAACTGAAACTTTTCATTTGCTTATAAATGACCGTTACCATTGATGCACTAGTGCTGATCAGATACGACAAGCATCTTTGCAAAATTTCAATGAAAAAACTGGGGGTGCTGAAAATTTGAATACATCGAAATTGAAAATTCAACGATCGATTCTTTTGTAATTATAATAATCCCATACTCTATGTATTGAGAACACAATATACGAAGGTTTGAGCATATCATATTGTAGATATTCTGAGTTTAAAATCTACTGTTATGTAGGTACATAAAACAGTGAATACATTCAATATTTTGTATAAGAATTAAGAACTATTCGGGTCATCGTGTTAGTATTTGAATAGATATCATTTAGTCTTATGTATAATCCCATTATGGTTCAAAAACCATACCAATATTTTGTAACGTCTAATATAATATATTTTAATTTTCAACAGACTTAAATCCTTTCGGTACCTACGTATAAAGTAGAACTATTGAAAAATAAATGCTTAATCGAGTATTTCGGTTCGGGCAAAAAAAAAAAGGTTCTCGTTTGGCGACGAATAAAAGTTTGCAACACACTAGACACTACCTATGTATAATTAATATTTATTATATTTTATAATATTTTGAATTAATAAACTCTTGTCATAATAATGTCGAAAACTGAAATCCGTTAATGGACGTGGGTATTTACATGGGTATTGTGATGTTGGTGGTGAAAATATGGCTTGACGAATCGCCCTATATATATAATATTAAAATAAATTATAAACATGCGGTTTGGCCGAGTACTAACCTTTGGAGCGAATTTGACGTTCAAATGGATTTTCGTCTGCAACTTTTTGTCAACAGCCGAGTTGTGCGCCAGACACGATATCGACGTGTTGTGGTGTTCCATTTTCGGTATGAATCTCAGAACGGATTTGGTTGTAAACCGTTTGCTCTCGGCCGCCATGGCCTCGACGGACATCTCAGTGCCATCCTCGATCACTTTGCCATTGCCGTCGGTCCATGTGATCTAAACAGCAAAAAAAAAATTTCAATTATTAAATAGTTCCTATGCATTGAAATATAAGTAGTTGAGTTCCAAAAAATGATTATATTATCACGAATAATATCACACAGGGGTGGGCCAAAATTAAATATACAAAATATCGTTGACATCGAGTTAAATTTTATAATGATAAACGGATTGCTGAAGCTGCAGTTGATGACAAGGAGACCTGAGGAGTCGATTACCTACCTACCTACATAGAAAACAATTTTTTTTTCATTCCTAAACATGAACTTTAACACGCACCCACAAATTTTACATTTCTATGTAAGTTGTCACCTAAATACCTATTTTGTAATACATAATATTGTACGTCATATAGTTTAGGAGAGTGTATCATATTATTTTATTATAACTATATTATGGTACAATATTGTGTACAAACGAGACCGACTATTCCCTTCTGCAGGTTTTCGATTTTTAAAATTAATCGAATACACAATGTAATACATTATTAAAATATCATAATTAAATTATACCAAAAATATTATGTTTTTTTTTTAAAATAAATTAACCAGTGACCACTAAACCCTGTAATTACAATGAGGAAATATATATATATTTAGATATACAGTGTGCCGTATAAATACGTGATGTAATTTGCACGTAACTATATACACATGCAATTTACACGGCCGGTTTGCACCTATATAATAATATGTGTGCTATGGCAGGACTCTACGCGATTACATTACACACCTCTGGTACACGTGATTTATTATAATAAGCGGTGATCATCACACTCTGTACACAATATATTATTATATTACGTCTTACACTGCAGGACTTCAACGGCCAGGACTTAAACAGTACGAACATAATATATTATATTATAATCTCACCACGTCTGACAGTGTATATTAAGTATATATGTATAGACCAAAATAACTGTTGGCCGAAAAAAAGGTTGTTTTTCTGCTACAATTTTTCTTGATACCACGCGAAATCGATTTCACTACACAATAATAATAGTAATAATACATTATCCTGCAGGCACATAATATGTATTATATTATATTATGTACTGTATTGTATTATAATTACACGATTAAAATTTTTTAGTTTTTGTCGTTTGAATTGGATCAGATTTGCGACGTGCATCCATCTATATGTATATTATTCTATAGGTACACGTCGATACATACGTGCCTGCAGAGTAAAATATATATGGGGGTTGGTTTTCCCTTGTACCGGGAACCGATGCAATAATATGATATTATGCAATTTTCCGGATTCGAATAAACGATAACACATAATAATATATAGGTACCTATTATATTTTCGTATATTTTGTTTTAACGGTAAAGGGCGACAGCTGTTTTCGAAATTTGGCAATAAAGCAAAATATCATAATGTAAGATCGCTGTTGTTAACGTCCTCAAAAAGTACTCAACAATATTGTATAACGATAAAAATGTAAATCACCCTGTACATAAACTAATTATAAGGGCTGTGGTATAGTTGCGTTGACGTGCGACGTCTACTGCAGTAATGTGTGTTTATATATAGGTACATACACTCTCTCACACACACACACACACGTATACGATTGTGATGGTCGCACCCCTCGTAGAATAAAAAATATATACAGACGGGTGTTGAAATTTTCATCTCTGGACGTTTATTTCCATACGTCAAACCATATACGAAGGTATCCACTTTTAGACTTCGGCACCGTTGCACGAGCCGGATTTAGTCAACGGTTCTAAATTTAACTCGCGGCTCACCGACAGACGGACGACCGTCGCTTTTCCGTTTTCACTTCCAATATCCTCATATATAATAGTCGATATATAAAGCATACGTCCGTTAGGGGAGGTTTCACTGTGTATCTATACTCTACCGGGATCATACAGTGTTGTCTTGTTTATTATTTATTATAACCTCCAATCCATTTCACCTCAAATATAATATATCTTCAATTAGAAACGATTTTCGTTCAAACAATTTATATTTAGTCAACCATCACAGTTCGATATAACTTCCGGACTTTTCCCTCTTCCAACACAGAAAAAAAAGCGCATAGGGAATAATATTTCACATTTTAATAAAGTACACCCGATAAACCCCTGCGACCTATTATTATGTTAAAAAATCGTATGAAGTCCCTCTGAAAAATAAATCCCTAGTCTGTCTAGATAATATATTAATATACGCGTATGCAGTATGCTGCTGCATTAATCATTGTATTTGATTAACAAAAGTTGTAGGGGATATGAGTTGTATTCCGTATATATACAGAAAAGAGTGATGAATCTGGGATTTTAGATTAGGATTGTGTGAAAAAACTTAAGACTTATAAACCGGATGATATCTGTATGAATATTCTGATATTCTAATTGAATAATAGTTCATAAGACTTGAAAATTTCAGTTTAAATAAAATTTTACGATAAGAACTAAAAAAAAGTTCACCGTATGAATTGATTGATGGTGAAAAATTATTTTCACAATTATTTTATTATAATAGGTATGATATAATTATGTCATAATATTGATGTATAATATAATAAAATTGGTACCTTTAATGGGAAATGTTAATTAATTAAATGTTCCATTTTTCAAACAGTACAAAATCGTATCAAACTATTAAATTATTATAATATAAAAATGATTTGAATTCATATCAAACTTTGACTCTTGACTACATTATAATATTATACGATGTATTACGCGTCCACAGTTAAATAATAATATTATGTAAATCGGCAGGAAAATGTCACGAGTATAGACCGTGTATTATGATGGCGTGTATATATTTGTGTATTGTACAATATCACCCTCTTCTCTTCAACTATTTTCATTCCTAGCCATCGTGATCAACCACTCACCCCCATCGAAATGTGCTCGGCCCACACAGCATATAAAATATACAACTATATAGATTGCCAACTTCCAGGAACCCTCAATCGTAGACCTTATGCTCATAAATAGATCAGCTGCCCTGTGAATCCAAATCGGATCCATGGTATAGACGCCTGGTGGTATATAGCAGTATATAAACTATATAACTTTATGTTATAAAATATATAATAATATGTTATGTAACCGGTCCCTCGGTCAGACAAGCGAGCCTAGCTAACGACGCATAAATATAGTAATATATAAGTTGTTAGACGGACATGGCGAAGGTCCGTGCCCACAATGTAACGGGTTTGGAAGCCCGGAAAATGGCCGAATTTTCTTATCAAAGTGTAGGACCATATATAATTACGTTTACAATTTTTACATCGAAAAGCAAATAACGAAATGTAGCGTACCTATATATTATATTATAATATAATCCATACGAAATCCATTTTATTTATTTATTTCGGTTATTGTCATAATATTATTATGACGTCTACACAATATCATATTTCGAATTTCAATTAACAAATTGTAAGCGCGGACCTCACCGCCGCCGTGCCATTTTACCTACATCCACGTTAAAGCCAAGTCGGCTACGGCACATGCAATATCAGCCAGTCGTATTATTCTATTATGTGCGTCTGTGGCTCGGTCATTGTATACGGCCGTGTGTGTGCTTAAGTTGGTGTATACGAATTTACATGTACGATTTGTATACAATATAGGTTATGTGTACATTGCAGCAGGACCGGCAGCGGAGTGGAATCGCGCGCAGGTCAGGGATGAAAAGCGGCGGCCAGCGGGTAAATTAGGCGATAAATACGTGGGTACCTACGTATAATATATATATTATATGTTACCCGTATGCTAATATCATATATATTATGTACCTACGGCCCGACGACGAGTCCACCCGACGATGACTGAATGTGGTGAAGGGGTGCCGGAGGTCCCGAGGGGTGAAAGGATTATATTATTATCCATAGAGGTGTGCCGGAAAGTCCCGAGACGATTTCATACGGTGGATATATATATTATATATGTATATACTATATATATAATAATATTCTGTATATATCATTGCATATGTAATATATAGCAGGGGTGGCCAAACGGTCGATCGCGATCTACATGGGTCGTTCTTGGACGATTTCAAAGTCGTTCACTACTAATATGTTATAGAACTTATATTATTATACATTTATTAGATATTGGTGCAGGTTTCGGATTAGTCGGTTTGTGTGAAATATGGCATTGACTCACATGAAAGATATAAAAGGTGATTACTGAACTAAAATATTTCTGATGATCATATTTTATACAGCTGCAGCAACTGCGTTTATAGCAGTTGGCTCAACTATTCTCCAGATTATATTAATTAACAGCTGGTCAGCGGTGCAATATATTGCAATTACACACTTCTACGCCAACAGTATAATGTCAATTTTTATTTTGAAATTATTTAGAAATGTATTCTGTAAAATAATTATTGTACGCTTCAATTTTATTATTTATAATATTACAATCACTATGTTTATTATTCATATTACTGATTAGGACTTAAACATAATAATGTGATCAGTCGATCATCCCGAGAGGAAAAATATATATTCTCAGTAGATCACAATCCAAACAAGTTTGGCCACCCCTAGTATATGGTGTACGTCACGTCTGAAATCGCGAGTTTTGCAGTGTTTTGCTGTGCACCCCCATTCCGCCTTCGGTTAAATTATGCATATATATATATATATATATATATGTAATTTAATATATAATACCTGCGGGTATATATACGACTATTTCGTGAGAGGGGTTGTTTTGTGTATTACGCTATTATTATTATGATTGTTATTATTGTTCTTGTCGTTATTATTATTTTTAATGCAACAATATTATAATATTCCGTGGCGTTTGGTTTAGCCATCGACGCACACGCGCGTGTTACATATATATTAGGTATATGATCATTATTACTATTAGGTACATATATATAATCATCTATATACCATATAATATATATATGTATTATAACATATTATGTTATCGCCAAAAACGGAAATTAAAGAATTTTCGTCAACGATGTCACGAAATTGAAATTAATTATTTTCCGACAAT